AAACAAAAAATAGTCCTTGTTTTCAAGAAAATAACTACCCAAAACTTGCTTCCATGTTTCACATTTTATCAACTCACGTGAGATTACTCGGTTTTAATTTCTTTTTAAATCCAATTTCTTATTACAGGTAATTTTGAGAGCACATCTTGAGTAAACTTTAACTGAAACAATCACTCTGTGACTCATTTAACTCCATCTCATACCGGTTGATTGATTTAGAGTCTTATTCCCAAAGTACGGCCACTGAGGAACTAAAAGACACAGTGGCCCCCAGGGCAGGTGTTAAGTCAGAGGCCTTTGAGTACAGGTAATCATGTTCTGATTTGCTTTCTGGAGTAAAGTCAGAATCTTCTTGGGGTTAGTGTTGTGGCTTAACAGCGGGTTACGCTGCCACTTGCAATGGCCGGCATCCCATATCGGACTGCCAGTTCAACTCCCTCCTGCTCTGCTCAGATCCAGCTCTGTTCATGTGCCTGGAAAGGCAATGGATGGTGGCCCAAGTGCTTGGGCCCCTGTCACCCATGTGGGAGACCTGGATGGAGTTTCTGTTTTCTGCCTATGGCCTGGCCCAGTCCCAGCTATTGTGGCCATTTGAGCTGTGAACCAGTGGGTGGAAGATTCTCTCTCTCTCTCTCTCTCTCTGTGTGTGTTTCAAATAAACAAATAAATAAACAAATCTTTAAAAAAATAAAGAGAAATTTCTCTCCTTCCACTACTTGAACATGTATAACAGCTTTACAAACTCAGAAACAACAGAATGAGATTTATAGTGCTTGGACTTCTGAATTCTTAATCTCCCAATAAGAATTTTGGTCAATAACTGTTCTCACATTTCTCTCTCTCTCTCTCTCTGTCTAAGACTTGTATATTTATTTGAGAGTCAGAATTACAGAGAGAGAGGGAGAGTCAGAGAGATCTTCCACCCACTGGTTCACTCCCCAGGTGGCTGCAGCAGCCTGGGGCTGTGCCAGGCCAAAGCCAGGAACCAGAGCCTCACTCAGATCTCCCACATGGGTGGCACTTGGTCCATCTTTCGTTGCTTTCTCAGGCACATTAACAGGGAGCTGTATTGGTGGGATGCCAGCATCACAGGCAGTGGCTTTACCTGCTATGACGTAACATCAGCCCCTCTCATAGTTCTTTTAAAAATATTTAGCATGCATAACTCACAATAGGTGAAGATTTTAAACCAAATAATATAATGATTGATTCACCACCACCGTCCCCCCTGCCAATACTTTAGTTATCAGGTATGAGAAGTGGGAAATAAAATAAAATGCTGGGCAAAAGAGCACAGTGTTTTGTCTTAAGGTTGCAAACATTGGTATCTCACCCAATTCCAGTCCCCAACCATTGAATGTCTGTAGTGTTTGGTGCCGTAAGGGAGCAGTACATTAACAATATGAGAGTCTTCAGAAAGTTGGTGGGAAATGCATATTATGAAAAAACTGTACACAGATTTCAATTTTTTGCACCAAAAATAAACATCTCTTGATTCCATTTTCTAAGAACTTTTTGTAGACCCTCCAGCATTTCAACAAACTAGTACCCTTTTCAGATGACCTTTTAAAGTCTACTTAATTTTATGATGAACACCATCATAAAACCATGAACTGGTGATCATCACACTAACGTAGCCTAGCCCACATTTCAAAAAATATTGAATTAATTGCAGGCATAAGTTGCCCATAAAAGTCTGGGTTTCCAGCTTCTCTCTGAAAATTAGAAGGCCTGGCAAATCTGGGCTCGCATTCCTGTGTGGCAGCAATCAGCTCAACTGTGCTGTCAGCTGCTGCCTTTAAGCCGGCCGTTTGGACACCAGTCTACCCAGCTCACATTCCCGAGGACACCTTTCCTACCTGGATCCTCCAAGACTGTGGTTCTTAGAGTCTGGCTTTGTGAGTCACACTACCTGTGATCTCATCCACCCAGGGTATACACCTGCGATGGGCATTTTGTAAGCTCCCCAAGTAACTGCGATGTATAGCCAAAAATGAAGACCCCGCATGTCTCACACAGAGCTTCTCAAAGTTTAACTTGCACATGATTCGCCTGCGAATCTTGCTAAAATGTGGATTATGATTCAGCAGCTCTGGGATAGGGCCTGGGAGCCTTCACGTCTGTGAGTCACAACATGGTGCCAGCACTACTCTACAAACCTTCCTTTCAGCAGGTTCGAAGTCCAAGGCATTTGTAGGCATCTGGTTTTGCACTGTTCAATACATACTTGGGTTTCAAGTGTAATGGACATTCCTGCCGGCACTCACATTATGCAAACAGCTGGAGTGACAGAGGCGAATGAGTGTCCTAGTGAGGGAGGGTACTATCTCAGCTCTCTGCAGCTAGCGTTTCCTGATACTGGGGGTCCTTGACTTCCAACCTCTGACTTCCACACCATCTTTGCTGTCAACGTTACCCATGACACCTTTGGACCCCTGTCGGAAACTGAGCTCCCTGGCAGTGGCCCCAGCTGCCAGCCAACATTTGGTGGTTACTGATTGAACTGTGGTGCTTGTGAGCCTCTGTGGGCGTTTTATTTCAGTGGTTTTGGTGTGCTCACAGAAGCCCTAGAGCCATGGTTCTCAAACCCTAGCAAGCCACCGATAGCTGGGCTCTGCCCCCAGCATTTTTGATCCAGTGAGGACAGAGAATTTGCACCTCTTTTCTCCAGGTGTAGATGGTGCTGGCTTATAGACATAGAACTTCTGGAGAGAGGGAAGGAAGACGGAGAGCAATGGGCCTCTTGACCTTGCCATGTGGCTTCTTGCTTTAAAACAGTTACACTTAGGAGGCCCAGAGGAAATTTTATTAAAGAAAATATTTAACATTTAGAGTTTGAATACTGTTTTTTTGCTTTTACTTCATAGAAAATGGAAAATGAAAATAAATTTAAAAGCTAATACTAATGTATCGATTTTATACAAATAAAACAATAGGGCCGGCATTGTGTCTTAGCTGGTAAAACCACCTCCTTCAACACTAGCATTCCATATGGGCACCAGTTCAAGTCCTGGCTGCTCCACTTCAGATCCAGCTCCCTAACATACCTGGAAAAGCAGCAGAAGATGGCCCAAGTGCTTGGGCCCCTGCACCCACGTGGGAGACCCGGATGAAGCTCCTGGCTTCTGCCTGGCACAGTTACAACCATTGCTGCCATTTGGGGAGTGAAACAGCAAATGGAAGATCTCTCTCTGTCTCTGCCTTTCCTTTTCTCTCTGTAATTCTGCCATTCACCTAGATAAATAAATCGTAAAAAAAGACAAAACAATGACTGAAATTACTCAGCATACAGAAAACGCTGAAGGTAAATTGCTAAAGACTGTGTCTAAAAAAGTAGGCGCAAGTAGGGATTTAATGTTGTTACGGGTTTGTTGAACTCCACTGTGCCAGGTGCCTGTATCTCTTCCGCAGCTGGATATGCACAAAAGGCAGGCAGATCCGGTAAGGTTTTCGGAGTTTCTTCAGAGCTGAACATAAGGGAGACACTATGCCTCTCATAGCAGTTCAGCTCAGCTTACGGGATTGGACCAGTCAATGCACCACTGCACAAGACACACCATCCAAATTCAGGACGGACCGTGGATGAGGCCCATCATTTCACATAGCAAGTGTGAAGGGGGTGCCCTGGTACAGCTCTTGTTGTCGTTTAAGTAGGGTGAATTCTGCAACCTGACCCGGGTAGAGTCTACGGTGGAGCTGACTTCTCCGTTAGAATCTGAGTCCTCTGTCAAGATGCCTTACTCCCCTAAGGAGAGCCAATGACTTCAGGATGGTCTTTCCTCTAGTCCCAGCGCCCACGGGAATAAGCCACCGAATTCCAAGTTTGACCAAAGTCTAAGTGCTTGGTTGAAAGAGATCACACACACACACACACACACACACACGCAAGGAAATTGAGAAAGAGCTGCAAAATTGGCTTTTGGGCACGTAGGGTGGGCCCGTGCAGGTCTCTCAAGCTGCAAAAAAGGGAATCTGGGAAGAACTCCTAAAAGGCACGCTCTTACATGTTTTAGGGCGAAAGAGAGGCGCACACCTTGCCAGGAGTGGAAGGTTTGAGCCAACATCCAGTGTTCTTCAGCAACATTATTTATTCGAGGACACTGCCTTGGAGAACCCACAATTAAGAGACAATGCACTTCACCCGAGCTTCTCCCACCCGCTCCCAGGAGCCACGAGGGGCGCGCGGTGTGCGCGAGCGCCCTACGTTGGCTCGGTCGTCTCGGGGCTGGAAGGGATCAGCAGCGGCGCCCGCCCTGCTCACAAAACTCTTCCCCTCTCGCAGACCCGCCTGGCTCCCGGCGTTCGCGGCGGGCCTGCGGGCACGCGTCCCTCCGGTTCACCCTTTCACTCCTTCCTCGCCCCCGGAGCGCCGCGCCCGGTGGCGCGGGTTTTCCGGCCGCTCGGGAGGCCGGGGGAGCCAGGAATTGCAGGGCCTGTCCGCTTTGGCGAGCCCTGGAATCCGAGTCCTTCCCCCACTCCAGCCGCTCTGCTGGGGCGCGGGGGCTCGCAAAAGGCGGCGGTTGGTTGCAAGACACGCGGGTTGGAGCCGCAGCCAACCTCCAGGGAGGTCTGAACTTGTTCTCGGCCTCCCCTGGCCCCTCCGCCTCGGGTCCGGGAGACGCCCAGCAGCACGGCCAGGCGGCCTAGTCCGGGGCGCGCAGAGCCAGAGCGCTCCGCAGCGGAGGCTACGAGCAGTCCCGCGGCCCAGGGCATCCCCGCGGCTGGGGGCGGAAGGCGAGGGCGGCGGCAGGCGGGGGTCGACCGGGCCGGAGCCCAGCTCCCCACCCCCCGGCCGCCGGCTCCGAGCCCGGCGCCCTGAGTGGCAGCGGCGGAGGGCGTGGCGCAGCCGGAGCGGGGCGGGTCCGCGCGCGCTGGTTGGTGCGGCCCCGGGGGCGGGGAGCGCGGGGCCGGGCCGGAGGCGGAGCCGGCGCCGGGCGCTGGAGCTGCGGGCGCACGGAGAGGAGTCGCGAGCAGCTGGAGCGGAGTTGGAGGAAGCGGCGGCGGCGGCGGCGGCGGCAGGCGAGCGGGTCGGAGGCTGAGCGCGCAGAGCGAGAGCGGCCGGCGGGTCGGAAGCGCCGCGGAGCCGTCGCACCGGAGACTGCTGTTGCCGCGCGGGCCCCGCCGAGGAAGGAAGCGGCCGCCCGGGGAGGTAGGCGGCGGCGGCGGCGGCGGTCCGGGTGTGTGCGCCCGGGAGGGGGAGGCGGTGCGTGCCTGCGTGCGCGGCTGCCGCCGCTCTCTTCCTGTCACCAGCGGCCGCTTCTGCAGCCCAGCCCGGAGGAAGCGGCCGGCCGCGGGCCTTCCACGCCGCCGGCATCTCCAGTCCACGGGGCTGCATCGGCGGCCGGCGTCGTTGCGCGCCCCTGGCCGCCTCCCGGCCCGCTTTCCCGCGTCCTCCTCCCAGCCCGGGTGTGTGCGCGCCGCCGCGGGGCGCGTTAGACCCCGGAGTTGCCGGTGAGCTCGGCTTCCCCCCAGCCTCCGTCCCCGCGCGCTGCCGAGGGTCCCTGCGGTCTCCCGGCTGCAGTTTCCCGGGGCCTCCGCCGGAGGAGAGCGCCCCGCCCCGGGGGCCCTGCAGCCGGGGCTGGGGTCGCGGCCCGGGCGTCCCCGGGGCGTGGCGGCCAGGGTCCCCCCGCGCGCCCCCAGCCCCCGCCCTCCCGAGTTTGCCGCCCTCCTCTTCCGGGGTGGGGGGAAGTGCGCCTCGGGGCGGTTGGCCTCGGGGCCCGGGCCGGGCATCTGGTGCCGGCCGCGCTCGGGCAGGTTGCAGGGAGGCGCCTCCGGTGGGGTCTCGGAGCCGCCCGGAAACCCAGCTTTTTGTGACACCGGCCGAGACCTTACAGGGACCTGCCCAGCAATATGGAGCCGGCGCGGGGGAGCCGGGGAGCGTGCGAGCCGGGGCTGGGAGCTCCTCCGGGGTTGTCTGGGAAGCTCGGCCCCCGACACCCGCTTCCCGGGGGGCAGCAACTCCCCGCGGATCACGAGACAAAGGGAACGGAAAAGCCCGGGCCAGGCCGCCGGCACCGAGACGCACGCTGGTAAACCCGAATTGGAGCTCGCCGAGCCGGGGCGTGAGCGCAATGGCTGTTCCGAGTTGAATGCAGAAAGCGTGCGCGCTGGGTTGGTCGGGGAGGTTCTGCCGCGTCGCGGGCGCCTTCGGAACCGGGGAGGTCCCGCGGCCAGCGTTAATCCCGGCGCAGCTGCAGCGCGGCTGGTGCCCCTGTGCGTTCCCGGACGGCGGGGGCTGCATGGCTTCAGGGTGTGCGTGCGTGCGTGCGTGTGTGTGTGTGTGTGTGTGTGTGTGGTTCTTGTTCTATCAGGGCGAAATAGGAACGGATAAAGCAGTTCCGGGTTTGGAAGGCGGCATAAGATGGTGCTTTCAGGGCGACTGGGGTTCAGGTTTTAGCTGTGGGGCGGGATGATCAGGAAGCTTTTTGGGACGCGGGCTTTAGGTGGAATTAGGTTTTCGTATTCCACGCGCTCGTGGCACGTTTTGGCAGTCTAAGGCTGGCTCGGCGTGGGCTGGGGAAGGTTGCAGCAGACAGGTTCACTTCTGACGCGGCCTGTCAGGAACCCATCTTCAAGGTGCAGTCATGAGGAATTGGGTGACTTGTCCTGGGAGAAGGCCACCACCCGCATCTTTTATCCTTGAAGCGGGGGGGTTCCCAAAGCACCTCCTTCGCTGTAACTGTTTAACAGAATACATTGTGATGGCAATAAACGGTTTTAAAAGCAAGCAGCTGAGCGCTGCCCGGGCACACAAGTTACTGAAAGTTCGAAGAACACGTGTTTTCCCACTTTGCAAAGGAAACACAACACTGTCTCTGCAGTTTGGGAAGGTGTGTTGGATCCGAGTGGGGGTTAAAGAGGAATGGCCTGTGGAGGAGTCCCCCGGCTTTGCAGAGTTGCTGGGCAAACCCACTGCAGGCCTGCTTAGCTTTTCTGTGGCACTCACAGCAGGTGGTAGAGGGCCATGCCACTTTTTTTTCTTCCTGTAGAAATGCATATTTTTATGGTTGGAAGAAAGTGTTGTGTCCCCTATCCTGGCTTTCAAAGTGTGGTGTGCATTTACTTCTAACTCTCATCTTGGTTTGGAACCTGTTCTTAGTTGCATAACAGAACTCTTGCGATGTACACAGTGCCTTCTGCTGCTGTATCTAGTTTTCTTTTTTTAATGGTGCTATCACTGTGTCTTTTCACATCTCTGATGCTGTGCAGTCAGTGTGGAAAGGCATTCCAGTTCCCACTTATCACGTGTATTTTTCTGTGGCTATTTGTTGGGTTTCTGTGGGTTAGGCTCATTCAGTCCCCTCGGTGTAGAGTTGGTTTGGGGGAAGAAGTGGCACACAGAGTCATAGGAATACACATTGTTTCGATTATTTATAATGATGGTGGTGGCCTGCATTTATCTCTGTCACTTAAGCTTTTTTATTTTTTTTTTTTGAATCTTAAATACGAATCTACTTTATTTAACCACATTTTGTCATATTAAAGTCTTGACTGTTCCTTTCATTCAACTTTTCCAGGAATGTTGTGTGATTTTTAGGTTGGGATGTTGACTGAAATTTCCTTTTTTTTCTTCTTGGGTAGCTCAGGGGAGTAGATTAAAAAGGCAGTGCTCTGAAGGTGTGCACAATGATAGTTCAGCTTTTATTTGCATTTTGTAATTTGCAAAAATGATTTTATTGGATAGAGGCAATGAATGAGCGGACTGAAAAAAAATTGGTTTTATGGTCTAGTGGAACATTGCAGAGACCATATTTGCATTTCAGTAGCAACTTTGAATTCTGTCAGGATTGAGGCGTGTGCCATGCAGAGAAGGTGGAAGTGCAGAGGTGGCAGTGTGCTGTCTGCTCTTGACAGGCTGTCCCCTCCTCTCCTGGAGCAGGGCACAGAGCCTTGCAGTGAAGACATCTCGGGGAAGCTGATGACGAAGTTGCCTGGCAGCGCAATGGGCGATCCGTTTAGTTTTTTACATCAGAAGGTGTAACGTAAATTAGATGGGCGCTTTTTACCAAAAAGCTAGGTTGTCACTAATTTTGAAAATCCTCATTTTTTTTGCTTCATATTATCCATACTTCCACCACCTCCACCCTAATGTGATCACTTGCCAGTGCACTCATTGGAGTGACTTGCCTGAAAGAATGGCAGTTAAAGGCCATTTCATGTACATTAAGCCAAATGAACTGAAAAATTGCCTATGTAATTACTTGTAAACTTCTCTATTTGGCTTAGATTAGGTATCTTCTTTTTTTAGAAAAAATAAGGGGTAGAATGAGTGTAGTGTAGCTCTTACTGTTTTTTTTTTTTTTTTTGAAAAAGTGTACCATGAAAACCATCTTTGGAGATTTTATTCTGCCAGCATTGTTTTCCTTAAAGTAAATCAAGTCTGTACCCACAGGCACCTGTAGTCAAAATAGTTCTCAGGTTAATGATCAATGATCACCCTGCAGAGACTTAGGTTGGAGGCCTCTGGCCACAGGGGAGGCGGCTCCTCCAGTGGGCGCGTGAGTTCACGCAGCTGGGATGCCCTGCTCCTTGGCTCCCTCCCTGGGTGCTCCGGGGTCCCCACCCAGCGCTCAGCCCCAGAGCCGGGGCCGGGCTGGAGGCTGTACAGCAGCTGCAGAGCCCTGTTGCCAAGGAACGTCGTCCCCCAGCTGCACACTCTGCCTTGCCACACGCGTGCACGTGCGAGCACACACACGTGGACACATGCACTCACACACGGAGCCCCTTCCAGTCTCCTTTGCCCTGCCCTCTGCAGAACCATCCTGAGCCTCAGGTCGGGAGAGAAGTAGATGGGCAGGGTCCACATGCAGCCCCGTCTGTCTGTCTGTCTGTGGACTTTGAAAAGGAGCCGAGACGGCGCAGTGGCGCAGTTATTTTAGCTGGCTTCAGGGTTTGTAGGGAACTGCTTGCAGCGTTCAGAGACAATGCAGGAGGAAATCCCTGGCAAATGGCCATTCCTATTTTAAGTCTGAATTGTCTAAATGGCAGCAAGTGGCATTCAGTATTAATAGTACTGATAGTAATAAAAATACCGTAGCTACTGTTTACTCGCTGTGTAACTTTAGGCAAATGATTTAACTTTTCCCTGCTGATTTCCTCCCCTGTAGAATGAGGCTGGTCATTGTTCCTAGGCTGGTGTTAAGGACTGAAGGAGTTGATCTGGTGAAACTTGAAGCAAGGCAGTCAGCCTTGTGCGGCTGTGGATTCAGCTCTTGTTGTCAGGCGTGGAGCTGCGTGCTTCATATGTGTGATTGCCTCTCACACTGGGCTGTGGGCTAGGTGTGCCTGTTGTATCTGTCTCCCAGGGCATGCAACGGTCATCAGTCCAGGGCTGCAATCCTGGCACTGATGGGGCCCTGCCTTTATCTGCAGCTCAGTGCTCATGTTAACTTTTCCAGTGCTTGCAGGCTGATGGCACCTAAAGAGGGGTGCCTTGCCCGGGCCCCTCCTGCAGCCCATTGTTTTCACTTCATTTTAATGAGATAAGTCACATGCTATACAGTTCACACACAGTCTGTCATTTTCAACAGAACAACAGTACATTATGACATTATGTTTAATAGGACATTTTAACTTTGCTCACTTTGAGTTTTCATGATTTCCAGGGCATCAGCATTTGAAAAGACAATTTTTAATATACTGATATTAATTATTATTATTATTATTATTTGAGAGAGAAGGAGATGCAGCAGTCCATCTCCCGTTCTCTGGTTCACTCCCCAAATGCCTGCATCAGCCGGGGTTGGGCCAGGATGAGATGAGGAGCCTGGAACTCCATCCGGGTCCCCCACGTGGGTGGCAGGCACCCTGCTTGCCTTCATCAGCAGGAAGCTAGAATCCAGAGCAGAGCCTGAACGCGGGCACTCCAGTATTGGGTGCGGATGTGTCGAGGAGTACCTTGACCACTGCAGCTAATGCCCACCCTGTGACATAGTAGTTTTAAAGCCTGTCTGAGTTTAGGTGCGGTTCTTGCCCTGGACATGAGTGTTGAGGGCAGAGAGGTGGAATGTAGGGAGGGAAGGAGCCCTGCTGTGCCCTGCAGGCCTTCACTGAAGACCCATTTTGCACGGCCGCCTAGCTCATCTCATTGCTGGCCAGTCGTACCTAGGATAGAGTGTCCATTAATTAAGCGTGCTTTGAAAATGTCCTTTACTCCTGCCCGCAGCCAGCGTTTCCAGTTCCTTTCCTTTGGAAGAGGAGAATGGAGTCAGTCAGCAAAACCAGAAGCCTTTTCAAAGAGATGTGTTCAGGTCTTTTCTGAAATGCCTGCACGTGGAAGGTTCCGCTGGACGTCTGCTTGCACACAGGTGTGCGTTTGGCGCTCATGGGTTGCTGTTTGCTGGGCGTCAGAAACAGGTTTATTGTGAGGAACAGAATGAAAATTCCTTGGTATTTTAAACATACTTCCAGTTAACATGATCGCAGGAGCCAAGTAACTTCTTTTTTTTTTTTTCATTTTCAATTCTCTTTATATACAGAAGATCAGTTTAGCATACATTAAGTAAAGATTTCAACACTTTGCACACACATAGAAACACAAAGTGAAAAATACTGTTTGAGTACTAGTTATAGCATTAAATCACAATGTACAGCACATTAAGGACAGAGATCCTACATGAGGAGTAAGTGCACAGTGACTCCTGTTGTTGACTTAACAAATTGATACTCTTGTTTATGGCATCAGTAATCACCCTATGCTCTAGTCATGAGTTGCCAAGGCTATGGAAGCCTTTTGAGTTCATCGACTCTGATCATATTTAAACAAGGTTGTAGTCAAAGTAAAAGTTCTCTCTTCCCTTCAGAGAAAGGTACCTCCTTCTTTGATGACCTGTTCTTTCCACTGGGATGTCACTCGCAGAGATCTTTCATTTAGGATTTAGGTGGTTTTTTTTTTTTTTTTTGCCAGAGTGTCTTGGCTTTCCATGCCTGAAATACTCTCATGGGCTTTTCAGCCGGATCCGCATGCCTTAAGGGCTGATTCTGAGGCCAGAGTGCTGTTTAGGACATCTGCCATTCTATGAGTCTGCTATGTATCTTGCTTCCCATGTTGGATCGTTCTCTCCCTTTTTTATTCTATCGGTTAGTATTAGCAGACACTAGTCTTGTTTGTGTGCCAAGTAACTTCTTTCAAAGAAAATTGTGAACTGTTGCCCATGATAAGTATGTTGATTTGTTGTTTGTTACAATAACTTATGCTCACACTAGCTTGGAGCCTGTATAACAAAACTGCCTTGATTATGTGAAAATATTAAACTGTAGGTGAGGAATATTATCCACATGCTATATGAGTGTATGTCAGATCTAGCAGTAGCCAGAGCGGATGCAGGCATGATGTTGTGCGTCTGGGAAAGATGCATCCTATCCATCTGGGTACTGGGACTCCACGAGTCCCAGAAATTTTACACAGGGGCTGCCACAAGCCTCAGGCTGCTGGGTCCTCTGCAGCTCTGGGGAGAGTTTGAAGGTGAGGGAAGAGAGCTTGTGCAGCCTCCTCCAGCTGTGATGATTTGTGTGATATTCCCCTAAGGAGGAGCTGCACTGTTGGAAATCCTGCAGGATAGTGGCCGGGCAGCGATGGCAAGAGGGGGATACAGGTGGCAGAAGCTGAGCTAGTAGAACAGAAATGGGCAGGACGCCAGGAATGGGCAGCTTTCCAGAAGGGATGTGCCCAGTATTCTTTTATTCACTACTTTATGGACTTCTTTTGGCAATGATGCATGTTAATGAAGTCTCTTTGGAAGAGAATTTGCATGGCTGAGCGCTGGGTCTTGGACTTGATGGAGCTGCCGCTGAGTTATAAATGGCTTCTTTTTGTGCAGGTGCAGGGCAGAGCCACCTCCACTGTCAGGAATGCTGCTGTCTCAGAGTAGAAGGCAGATGCGCAAGGTTAACCTGAGAGGTCTGATTTTGCCCTGAAGTTGTAGCATCACTGACATCACGGGTATTTGGGCCTCTGTTTAGGCATCAAAGCAAACAGAGCTTGGGCAGTAGGTTGTGGTGGTGCTGATAGTGGGGCTCTGATGCCAAACTGTTCCCCAGGTCTAAATTCTGATTCTCCCTCTCAGGAGCTGAGTGTTACCGCGGCCTAGACACCAAACTCTCTGCCCTTCAGTTTCTTCATAAGTAAAGTTTGAAAATATTTATAATACCTACCTTGTATGATTATCTTGAGGATTAAATGGATTGGCTTCCAATAAATTAGATGATGATTGGAATGGGGTTAATAGTATATAGTATATTATAATAATATAAATCTGACAATATTTCAAAAAGTTTATGAAAAAATGAAGTTAAAAGATAAGCTTATTTGGAAGCAACAAGCTTTGAAATCCATTGTTTCTGCTTCGTACACATTTTCTACTGACTTATCCAAGTGCCCTCCTGTAGGACCCAGGAAGCACTAGATGGTGATGCAGATGACAGTGCCGGGAGAAAGTGCGGTGTGCACTAGCCTCATCTGCCTGGTTGAGGCCTCTCTGAAGTCAACATCACGGGACCCAGTCTCCACCCGAACGATTTGTGTGCCCTCCCTCTTGTTTTACGGTGTTGCTCTCAAACCACTTAACTGACACTGAATCATGGCTGACCTTGACCTGTTTACCTTGTCCTCTGCACTGATCTTCCTGGTCTTGACTGTGGACGTTCCAGAGACTGGAGTGGTGGTTCCACGGACAGCCCTAGAGTGGCAGACGATTTGGGGTTCTTAGTAGCAGACACAGACCCAGAGTTCTGCACACGTTGTGTGTGTGTGTGTGTGTGTGTTGCAGACTCTGAAAGGAAGTGACAAGGCACAAAGCGGTTGCTGTCCTCTCGGCCTCTGGCACTCAGAGTGGACACTGCATCTGTAGAGTCTGGCTTCCTTAAAGTCATCTGCTGCCCCAAGGATTTTTTTCCCCTTTGCACAGAGTTAGCTTCAGGCAGATTTTTTTTTTTTTTTTTTGACAGGCAGAGTGGACAGTGAGAGAGAGACAGAGAGAAAGGTCTTCGCCGTTGGTTCACCCTCCAATGACCACCGTGGCCGGCGCGCTGTGGCCGGCGCACCGCACTGATCCAAAGGCAGGAGCCAGGTGCTTCTCCTGGTCTCCCATGGGGTGCAGGGCCCAAGCACCTGGGCCATCCTCCACTGTACTCCCTGGCCACAGCAGAGAGCTGGCCTGGAAGAGGGGCAACCAGGACAGAATCCGGCGCCCCGACCAGGACTAGAACCCGGTGTGCCGGCGCCGCAAGGCGGAGGATTAGCCTAGTGAGCCGCAGCGCTGGCCAGCTTCAGGCAGATTTAAGCACAGTTTTCAGCTTTGCAAAACCTTGAGAAGATGTGGTGCCTCTTCTTATTACAGGGTCCCCTGGTGAGGGAACATGCTAGCCACATGGGTGTGTTGTGGCCAGGAGCTTGCTTCTTGGTGGTGTAGGGATGCGGCGGGTGGGGTGTGGGTGTCTCAGAGATGAGAGACAAGATGAGAGGGAAGGGAGGGAGAGGGAAAACGCAGTACAGAGGTCATTATACTTGAAGAATCCCACCAAGCTGCCCCACTGGGTGGTTGAAATAGAGGAAGTGGTAGGCAGCAGCTGGCATAAAGATCTACCCACCCTACTGGTTGAGGATTATTTTTTTTCAAAAAGACATACATTGCCAAGGAAAGCTAACAAAAATTTCAAGGCAGATTTGGAGGAATTAAATTATTCTTAGGCACATTGCCTGGTTTCCAAGCATTTAGGGATATGCAAATTTTCATGTTCTTTAGCGTTCTGTGTCTTTTGTACCGAGTACATTAGTACTAAAAATGAGATTTGCTACTTTTACATTTTGGTGTGAATTTATGCAGTGAATGTTTAATTTGATGCTGGATCTTTCAAAGGGAGAGGCATTCTTAAAACAGATAATGTAGCTTATTTTTCTCATGCTCTGCTGGCTGCTTTGTTGTTTTTTTTTTTTTTTTTTTTTTTTCCTCTGATGACTGAAATGCAAAGGAGAGTACTATCCCCAATTAATATTCTTGCTACACAAGGTTTCCAGTGTTTGTTTTTGCTTCCTTTAATATGTAACTCTCCTAAGAGTGTTATTGTATTACAGCTAAGAGGCTTCACCCTTGTAAAGCTGACTATTTCACACTTCTGAATGCCAGCATAACCATCTGTGATTTGCGTTTGCTTCGTAAGATGCCCACGCCGAAGAGTGGCTGTCATGCTAAACCTCGGAAGTAGTCCCCTCCTCACAACTTGTAGGAGCTCTCTTGGATGGGAGATTCTGTGGCTGCTGTTTTTATTGCTTTATCCTGCTGCCAGCTGAACTGAAACCTGTTGCTGTTTATAATGAAGATAGCATTGAGAAATGAACCGAGCCCAGCGTGCCGTGAGCCTGCTGTGCCTTCCGGCTTGTACCTCTCCAACCTGGAGCCTTGATTGCTGATTTCTCTGCCTCTACTAGGTTGAAAATCAAAAGAGAGAAAAACGCTTCCATTCCCCCTTTCTCCTGCACTAAGTTATCTATTGTCACTTCCTCCCTGATTTTTTCACTCCTTCCAGTCTGGTTACTAGCCTCTTCTGAGCTGGCCTCTGCCTGCCCCAAAGTCCCTGAAGATCCCACAGTGGGCGGAGCCCCAGACTGGCCTGGTCTCCTAGGTCTCTGCAGGGCTCATCTTTTCCTGCCTGTGCCCTCTTATTTTCTAGGACGTTGCATGGCCTCTCAACCTTGGCCTGCTCCCTTTAGTTGAATTCTTGGACTCTCAGTGTTTGGTCCTTGAATCTTCGTTTTCTTGTGGGACTTTTGCCTTTTTTTCCTGGTGAGCTCCTGTGTCCCGCTGAGTGCAGACTTGCCTGGTTGGTGACCGCCTCTCTGCCTTTTCCCTCCCCTGAATCACAGCCCAGGTTTCCAGGCAGACACTAGCAGGCTCGCAGGTGAACCTGGCCGCCTCGGCAACCCATCCGGCCTTCTCGCTTCTCTTTGTCTGATTCTGGTACAGGGTTTTCCTCGTAAGAGCAGGAGCGGGCACCCCTGTTCCTCCCTTTCCAGTCCCTCATGCCCGCAGTCACGACACCCCACCCATCTCTGCAATGTCCCTTCCTTGAGTTCTCCGCTTCCCACACCTGCTGCCGCCACCTTGTGGCTGCCTGCCCAGCTCGCTGCAGCACACCTCAGCTGTCCCACCTCGGTGTCTCCCCCACCAGCCCCTCCCACGCACAGGGGTGAGCCTGAGATTCCTCCAGGGCGGCTGTGGCCCTGGTGCTGGCCGTCGTGGGGCACAGGTGTCCATGACGCCCTCCGGCCCCCTGCCTGTCCTCACCCGATCCACTGCTCCCATTTTGGCTTCAGCCGGATCGGACTGCGTGTTCTCACTCTTCCCAGAACGTGAGTCTTGCTTCATCACTTCTGGACCTGGGATCGTGGCCCGCATTCCATTCCGTGCTCAGATCCCCGCAGTTAGATGTGGCCTCTCCCACGTTTGTACCTCGGAGTATTTGGTTTCTGCCTCTCCCCTGGGCACTCACCTGGTGTTAGAGTTCCCGGTGTTCCAGCCTTATCTGTGATGTCGCCACAGGCCCCGCCCCTTGTTCTTAGAAGGCAGGGACCGTCTTGTTAATCTCTCTCGTGTGTTCTGTGTCGAGCCGTAGCACACTGGCGCGTGTGCGTCTGCCAAATCGATTAAGTACTTGTTGAGTGGGAGGAGAAATTGAAATTCACACAGATGGCAGAGTGCAGTGTCCATTCATAAGCCTTCTTTGTCGTTTGCTAGGTGAGGCTCGCGGTGCGGAGGGCAGCAGTGAAATCGGACGACAGATGGACAGTGTGGCCAGAGCTTCAGAGAGGATCGGGCCTGGCCGTGAGAGGCAGCCCCGAGTCTGGGTGTTGACCAGCTGCTGAAAAGGAAGCCAGGGGGAGCCGTGCCACGCAGAGGAAGTGGAGCCCTGTCTTCACCGCACCATTGATGGAGGACAGATGGACAGCCGGATGGCCACTCACGCCTCCCCTTGAGCCTCTGGAGAGTGCCTCTTTGCGGTCGGCCGGACACCTAGGAGGGTCCGGGACTCTCTCTGTGACCCCGGCGGCCGTGCAGAGGTAGAGGCGGCCCGCAGTGCGCGTCCTGACCCGGCTCGTGCATGCCTGCAGAGCTGCCGACATGAGTGCCGAGGGCTACCAGTACCGGGCGCTGTACGACTACAAGAAGGAGAGGGACGAGGACATCGACTTGCACTTGGGGGACATACTGACTGTGAACAAAGGGTCCTTGGTGGCGCTGGGCTTCAGCGAGGGGCAGGAAGCCCGGCCCGAAGACATCGGCTGGCTAAACGGCTATAATGAGACCACGGGGGAGAGGGGCGACTTCCCGGGGACCTACGTGGAATACATCGGAAGGAAGAGAATCTCGCCTCCTACTCCGAAGCCCCGGCCGCCTCGACCCCTTCCTGTTGCGCCAGGTTCTGCCAAATCCGAGGCGGACAGTGAGCCACCAGGTCAGCATGGATGAGTGATTGCTTGGAGAGCCCGCCCCCAGCCCCACCCCCGCTGTGTTGTCTTACGGAGGAGTCTTGGGTTTGTGCTGGGCTCTGGGCAGAACATCCTGGCACCTTGCCCTGAGTTGATGTATGGTGTGGAGAGGCTTGGGCGATCATTGCACAGCTAGCAATGTGCGTGTGCACCTGTGTGTGGGGGGAGGCGGTTAGGCGTTGTTGTAGAAATTGGGAAATGATATTGGAAAACCCTTTGAGCGAGTGCCTGCCAGCACTATTATCAGAGCTGCCATGCAGTGAAACACCTATTGCATTCTCATTGTTGCCGTTGGTATTATATGTGGGGAGTTCAAAAAGTACATGGAAAATTGGAGTTAAAAGGTAACTTTATATTGGTGTGAAAATGTTGTTTTAATATTTATTTACTTATTTATTTACTTATTGAAGCTTGAGTGACAGAAAAAGAGGGAGAGAGAGAGAGATCGTCCATCCATCTACTGCTTCCTCCCTAAATGGCTGCACCAGTAGTGCCTGGGTCAGGCCAAAGCTAGGAGCCTGGAACCCCATCCGGGTCTCTACATGGGCAGCGTGCACCCAGGTTTTTTGCTATCCTCCACTGCCTTCCCAGCATCTTAGTAGGAAGATGGATTGGAAGGGCAGCAGATGACACTCTGAGACAGGAGGTGGGCTTAACCACTGCCCTGTGGCACCTACTCTGATGTGGAAATGTTTGAAAGCCCTGCCTATGTGGGGTCTGTAGCAAGTTCGTGGAAAATGGCTATTAGGAAAGTTCATGTATTTTGAAAATGTATGGACTTAAATCTTTTAAAATTTTTTTAAAAAATTTAGTTGTGTTGATTTGTGAGAGAGGCAAAAAGACTCGGAGGTCTTCCATCTGTGGGTTCACACCCTTGATGCCCACAGTAGCCAGGGCTGGACCAGGTTGAAGCCAGGAGCTAAGAATTCAATCCAGATCTCCTATGTGGGTGCCGGGGACCCAAGTACTTGAACCATCATTGGCTGCCGACCTGGGGTGTGCATTAGCAGGGAGCTGCATTGGAATAGGAGGAGCCGGCATTCTAACCAGGCCCTCCAGTGTGGGGTGTGGATGTCCCAGGCAGCATCTGAACCACGGCCCCCAGTATCTGGCCCTGAACGTAGCTTGTGTTGGCACTTTTTCCAAGGACTTTGAAGTGTCCTCCGATCCAGTCATTTTGGGAAGGTGGAGGGTAAGTCTAATGTAAGTATATTTAGCATTAATATGATTTCTATGGAAAAATGTAGAGGGTAATAAAATGACCACAAAACTCGGCAGAGAAGAAACGGTTGTTTTTATAACCGGGCATCTACCTCTTGGTTTCCTCTCCAGGAACACTGTGGCTGCAGCAGAAACCCAATCCCGTAGTTGGCATAAAAATGAAAGGAGCTCTCGTTCCTCATCAAGGCCTTGTAGTCTGCTGGGCTGTCAGGACGGGGAAGCGACACTCACTGTTTTTCTTAGCTGGAAACCACCTGCGTGCAGAACGCCACCCCCGTCGGTTGGAGGTGGTCGGCACTTGAGCTTTGTGCACAGCTGTCTGTGTACCAGTTTTCCTGGGTTCAGTTTCGCGCAGAGATAAGCCTTCTGCTCAGCTTTCCTGTGAACGTTTTGTCAGGCGCCGGTTTCCTCCCCAGTAAATCACAAGCTTTTTTTTTTTTTTTTTTTTCAGGAAGTAAGAACGAATTGGGAGGTGCTTTGACCTGGGTGGGCTGACTATAGTGGTTACATATTGAGCAGCCCAAGTATGGCAGCACAGGGTACTTCTGGAAGGGAGTCAGATGCTGATAAAGTCACGCTGCCTCTTTCGTGCCGGCTTATGCGATACAGATAGGGAGACAATGGGGAAGTTTAATCACATGTACATGTAATTTTGTCGACCATTGCATTTCTTACAGTTTACTTAGCAGATTTATATACAGAATCGTTTCTCCACCAAATGACATATTTTTTATTTGACTTTCTGGGTTTTTTTTTTTTTTTCATTATCAGCTCCCTAAAAGGCCAATTCAAAGGAAGAAATCATTTAATTTGCTCCAGAATTCAAAGACATACAGAATCATAAAAATATCTCAGTTGGATTAAGGATTATTTTAAAAAGAGGAATAAGGGTACATTGTCAAGATTAGTGACAAAAAGCTTTTGCAGAAATAGATTCTAAACTAAATTCCATTTGGATGACTGCCAGCAGGTGAAATTTTAGTTGGATGTAGTACACAGAAAAGTTTTTCCATATTGGAAAAACGATTTTCTCTTTTGAAGTCCTGAACCATTTGTGAGTGCTTTCTTGCTCACGTATGTAGTGTGGTGACAATTGGGATTCTCAGCAGGCTATTTGTTTTGGTTTTCAGGCATGGAAAAGCAGAATAAAATGAGCGTTTTTGGCAGAATTCAAGAAAGAGCCCCATGATATGTGTGCAGAGTGTTAGAAAGAGAGACACTGCCTATAAATGAGAAATTAGGAATAACTGAGAGGTTGAGAAGGCAGTGTGTGTGATGGGCGTCGGGAGGTGACACAGGGACTATAATAATAAATGTTAGATTTTTCTAGAAATATTAGTCTTGTGTTCTTATCCACATAGGATCGCCGTAAGTGAGAATTCACTCGCTCCTATGAAGGCTGTGTTAAATTGAAATGGGGAGTAGTGGTAGAGACTTCTATTTGTGGGCATCTATGGCTTCGGGTGTATTTGAAAAGCCTCTGCAGTGAAGAATTGTGTGATGGCCAGAAAGCATAGTTCCTTTCTTACTGTAGTGGAATCTTCAGCCCTCTGCTTTCCCCTCCCTGGCCTGACTTAGGCCATCTCACAGGTGCGGCTACCTCTATGTCAGTTAGAAGGCTACCCGGGAGGCTCAGTCAGGTGCAGTTCTTGCTGTGGGCCCTTGGCACAGCACACTACTGGGCAGCAGAGCCAGCAGGGGGTGCTGGGAGCTGTCCCTGTGCAAATCACCTGTTCTGTGTCCTGCCGAGCCTCACCGCCTTCTCCCGCAAAGCAAGCTGTCTTTCGACTCTGGCCAGAAGTAGCTCCTGCAAGGGATGTTCCTCCCTCTAGAATAAAACCTGCTTTTCCACTTGTAGTGCATCTTCCCGGAAATAAAGCTGTGAAGCTTACTTAGCTGCTGGCTGAAAAGAGGCAAAACCCATTTGCAGTTCCTGTTCCCAGGTGCTCTCAGGAAACTGCTTTCTGCCCATGGACTTGTGTTCAGCCCCTGCCTGGACGGTCAGTGAGTTTGTTTATCGGATGGGCTTTTGCACTGAGATTCACTCCTGCATCCCTAGTTTGTGCTAGAATGTGAAATAGAGACCTGCTGTCTTGTGCCTCTTCCCCTGTTAGGGCAGTGCCTCGATGGCCCCGTGTGGGCAGCCCTTCCCCTGACGTGCACGCAGCTGACCCTCTCTCGCCTCTGCTCTGATCCTCCTCCTCGTGGAAGCTGGCTCTGCCTGGCCTCTTTCATGCCGGAACCTGCCCCTGTGCTCCTGCAAAGCATTTGTTACCTTCCCTGCCCTGTGATTTTCTCACTGTGCTCATTGTTCATTGTTCGCTCTGGTAGATTGTAAGATCTTTGTAAGGTCTTTGCAGGGCTGCCAGCGTCCTAAGCACCCTGTGGGTAAATGCACACTGCTGAAGGTGGTCGTCTGGCTGTGTCAGGTGCTGCGTGGCTTCTGAAACCAGCCACGCGCTGTGTATGTCACATACAGGTTGACACTGGGTGACGGCCCCTCCTGCGTTTGGAAAACGTGGCTTATTTTTGCTGTGCATATTGTTCCAAGCCTTGGCCTTGGCCTTGGCCTTGACCATTGCTGCTGGGATTCCAGAACGCTCATGTTCCAGCCCAACACTTGGGACAGGTAGTTCTGCTGGTTGGAAAGTAGGTTCAAGTGACAGTGCCTTGAGCCACTGAAGGCAGGTGAGTGGAGGGGTGCCATCCACTGTCAGGAAGGCTGGGCTCCTGAAAATGCAGGCCTCTGGCTCTGTCCACCGGAGGCCACTTGGATACCGACATTCCCCTGCCCACACACAGCCGGCTCACCCGGGCGCCCGTCTTTCCTCTTTTGTATGGGGCGGGAACTTAGGGGGGAGTAAAAATACATTGCTCTCTTTCATCTGTCAGCTGTCTGGTGGGGCTGTTTCTCAAGAGAGTGGATTTAGCACACCCTTTGAGATCCTTTGGTTAAGGGAATTAATTTAGGCTGGTGGGTTCCGTGCAGAGAGCTGACACCTGCAGACTGGAGGAATCATGCAGCGGGTGCCACGCCCCCCTTTCCCAGTTGCACTTCAGGCGTGGACCGTGGGTCCCAGCTGGTCCCACATGTAAAACCTAGAGCATGCATTTACTGTGACCTGTTTGCGATTTTGATCCATAATCCCTTATAAACAAATACAACGAAACAAGGGCTGCAGTGGGCAGGTTTGTTTTCATGGTTTCCCAAGCCGTGTTATTTTTACGTTTCTCACGCTCAGCCTTTGGGTATCCCCCACAGTTGTGCCCCGTCTCGAAAGCAGGGCTATAATCTCAGAAATTTCCTGTCCTTTACAGAGGTCACAGGAAACAGCGGCCTAATCCCAAATGACACACCTTGGCTGAGCCTGGTGTCGTAATGAGAAACGGTGTCAGTGCCGGTCATGGGCCCCGCGTCATGAGTTCCTGACACCAGGGCCTCCAGTGAATTGCAGACGATGCCTTCACCTTTCTCTTCCTTCTCCCTGCTCAAGTGAGGCTTTGCCACGGCGGTGTCGCAGAGCAGAGTTGTGGTGCCGACAGCTCCGTCTGCATCTGCTCCTCATTCTGCTTTTGCGCATAGGCAGGGCCGCTCAGGGCCTCTCTCCGCGCCCCAGCATCTTCCCAGCCAGGAGAGGTCATCAGAACACGACCGAGATTTTTACCCAGAAGTGAAGTAAGTGTTTGCCTCTCGATTGTAGTAGGAAATGAAGTGTGAAAGGACTTCATTGAGCTCATGGAACGT